GGCACACGGGGTAAGAACATATATCCGAAGTTCCAGCCCCACAGCTTTCCCGGTTGCCGAGTTGAAAGTGGATGACAAAATGCACTCGCTTTTCGAACACACACAGACAGCCTCTCGACAATAGCGCTGCTATAGCGCTGCACAGCAAAAACGCATAAAAACACATACTCTGGAGAGGTCGTTCGTGTGTATGAGTGTGTTCGGAAGCAAGTGAACACTGCCAATCACTTTCAACTCAGCAACCAGGAATGTTGGGAGGCTGAAATTTTTGGGGCATATTCTCATCACATGCGTCACCTTCCCCTTTTAAAAATTTCCTTCATGCGCCCCTAGATTTCGCATACAGAACCACGAAAAAATATACAAGTTTTCTTGGCTAGCAGCATAGGTCGCAACTCATGTACCTGTGTTTTGTGTTAAACTGTAAAGTAATGACCGTTCATACTATTAACGATCTGTTTGCGTCAAATGTAGCTTGAAAACATACGATAGAACGGGCAAACCTGATACGCTGTTACCTGAGTTTTATGAAAAGGGGGCCACAACGTAAGCATGTAAATCCGGCCCGCATGTCGCCAAAGGTTATCCATGCCTGCTCCAAATCCAATTTGGAACACACAGGTGGGTCGGCGCAGTCATGCGTTTTTACAATATTTCGTGCTGTAGCAAAACCGCCTCATATGATTAGGGAACATCCCCTTAAAATTCCAGCCTTCTAGCTCTCCTCGTTCTCGAATTAGCAACTTTCCCGCCATATCACGATTGCCCATATATGGTACATGTGCGGATCTAAAGAGCTGAACTTAAAGTCTTCTGGCCGCAAAAGTATTGCACATTCTCCTAAAGTTTTAGCTTTTTGGTTTTTCTCGTTCCGAATTAGCAGTTTTCCCGTCAATATTTTCGTGTGCCCGAACGTGAGCCCTGGGCAATCCTAAGCACCTGAATTTGAAACTTCTTGGTCAAACACGGGTAGGAAACATTACTCTAAAATTTTAGCTTTTTAGCTTTTCCGTTCCCGAGTTCGCAGTTTTCTCGCCAAAAGTTTCACGTATCCGTGCGCGGGACGTAGGCATGCGGGACAGTTGATATCACGGTCTTGAGGCTGCACTTGACCGGGGAACGAAATTTCAGCATTAAAGCTTGCGTACTTGGCGAATAGAAACTGGACAGACGAACAGACATGCACAGGCAGGGTCATCGCAATGTGCATTTTACCTGCCTGTTGCAGTGTTCCAGCGCTGCACAATAAATACGCACAAAAATTGTTTATTTTAGAAAAAAGGAAGTGACCTGTTCCAGTCCATCTCAATGCACTGCGTACGAAGACAGCGTAACTGATCGTCAGATCGCACGTGGACTAGGAGCATCCTCTGGTCGCTGAGTTCAAAGGCGCAGCAAAATCCGAATACACACATACACTCGTTGATATGCTTTTTTGCATTCCATTAAACATGCAAAAATGCATAAAAGTGCAGAAACTAAAAGAATGTAAAGTTTCGGCGGAATACAGTACTCGCCAGCAAGCGTTACTCACACCATAGATGAAAAAATTGGCCAACGCAAGGGCTGCCCGTGCGAAGATGCGTTTTTTGCAGAGTTCCCCGCAGTTT